CCTGGTTCGATTCCAGTCAAGGACACATGCCTGGATTTTGGGCTCGATCCCCAGTAGGGGGCGTGCAGAAGGAGGCAGCCGATCGATGGTCCTCTCTCATCACTGATGTTTCTATCTCTTTCTCCCTCTCCCTTCCTCTTTGAAATCAATAAAAAAAAATACATATTTTAAAAAGAAGTAACATGAACAAATAATTTAGATGGCTGGTGCAAATAATAAAATGGAATAAAAGAAATCCTAAATCCAAAGTAAATATAAAAGAAAATCTCACCAAAATAATAAACTGTAAAATAAACCATTTTGGTTGAATTATAGGTTAATATGAGTGGGTATACACAGAAAATTAGCTTGGAAAAGGACTGAAAGTAGTTAAAAAAATGACTAAATGGCAACGACAAACAAATGAAAATGAACACCTAAGGAAGGGACAAATTAAAGTTCAGAGCACTATATAGTATAGTAACATCTTCATACAAAGTAGGAGTGTCTGAAACCAGAAAAATAACAAACTAAAATCCTGGGTAGTTCAAACCAACAATCAAGCTCACTCCTAAACATTTTAATACTTAAAAAGGTATTTAAAAATAAAAATATATTCAAAAGACATATTCTCTCAGTAACATGATTTACACTGATATGAAAGCATTACCAAAGATCAAAATAATCTGACCACATTAATCATACTCCAAATGTATTTAAATCAAAATAATTCTAGTTATTCATAAATTATTCTAAAGAAAACCATAAATTTATCCACATCTGAAGGATGAGCCTGTAATTACCCAAATTACATGTCAAACACATAGTTTAACACTTGTCTCAAATGTTGAAATCACTATACATTCAATTAAATTGGTAAAAAAAAAAATTACTATTTTCTACTTAAATCTGTACTGCAGTTAATAAGATCCAAAAAAGACAATCTTTACTGGTGAAAAACAGATAGCTAGTGAAGAGATGGACAATTTTAGAAATGAATCTATTAAACTTGCCTACGTATAAAATAATTAATAGGCTTAAATCCTTTCATGGTGAGGTTCTAGCGCTTCCTTTTTTGGCATGGGACTACGTAACCAAAGTTTAAAGAAAAAAAATTTTGAACAACATAATACTTAGAAAGGTACTTAAGGATAGGTCTATTATTTTCTTCATCTTCGTATTTTGCCCCAGCTCACAGCAGATCCTATCCAAAGCAGGTACTTAAATTAAGTATTTACGTAAATAAATCAAAAGGAGGGGTTTGAGATAAAGGGAATATGTGGTCTCGAACATGAGTTATCTCTGGAAGTTATTTCTACTTCAGGGATCAAAAATTTTATATGCACAATAAAACTGTGCTAACTTGAGATCAACCTATATGTACCAATATTTGTCTACCAATTTCTTTGCAGAAATTTGATGAAACTTTTTGCTTAAATCAAAAATTTAAAACTATTATTTTCAAGTTCTAAAAAAAACAAAAACAAAAAAAACTAGGCAAAGGAGAGTTATAAAACCAAAGACTTAAGAGTTAGTATTGAGTGAGAATCCCTACTAAATTACAGTGAAAAATTTTTAAATGACTTGTATTCAATGAATCATTATGTAACAACATTAAGATATACCTAGCCCAGCAAACCAATGGTGACCAACCACCAAAGATGCCAAAACCTGAGAAATACTAGGATAAGTATTTCTCACCCCATTGCCCTGCAACTTTCTCAATTTTTTTCACGAGAAAGGAGTAAATCAGGAAAGGAGCAGAAGGGTTAAAAGACATTTTCATTTCTCAGGCGTACTTTGTTGTGTGTATGCCTACATTTTTACAACTGTTAAGTCCTATCTTAAAACTGAGGTTGCAAACTGATGGCCTATAAACAAGTTTTGGTTTTTCTGATTTGTACTTTTAAAATTTACTATTTAAATAACAGAAAACTTCACATAAAAACCCTGATTTCTAGTCTCACAGAATCAGAACACCTGGCAACACCAAGTCTGTGCAATAACTAAAGTCCAGAGCTGAGTTGTGGGGGCCTCTTTTAGACAGGGGCTCTCACAGTCCCCACCTCTCTTATTTCTGAAACTTAGCAACCTACATTCATTTATATTTTCTATCCAGATCCTGTAGGCATTCAATTTGAGCCTCCACTCCCACCAACTTGAGTTACATCCTTTTGTAAACTAGAAGAAACTTTAATATACAACTTTTAAATTTCCACTGTACTTCTATGAAATAAGTTATTGAAATATTACCAGGAATCAGGAAGGAGTTCTTTAAAGGTTTTTCTCCTCTTCTTTTCCATTCCTTCCCTTCTTGATTATCAGATATCAGTGATATATCTTAACATTACCATTAAATTATTTCTAGTTTATAAATAAATATAACAAAATGTACTGATTTCTGCTCGAGAATCACTGTATAGAGTAATATATTATGAGCAAGCTGATCCAATAATGCACACCCAATCTATTTCATTTGGAAGCTGACTAAACTGATCTAAGAATAAAATTGTCATTAGGTACAGACAATAAATTAATCTGCAATTCTGGACAATCAAGGATTTCTAGAATAAATAAAATAGATGGTTTGTGATCAGCAATTACTAGGTGCCAAGGTGGTTCACCAAGAAATTACTATGCTGGTAAATGAGAGGAATGTGGTAGAGAGTGTCTGTTTATTTTTAAAAAGCCCTCCATGAAATCTCTCATAAGATAAAGTATAGATTGGATAATAAAATATTTTTAACTCCAAAATAATATTTCCCCAAGAATTCTGAACCCATGTCACTGAGAAGAGTCCTCCAGTAGAGTGCTATAGGGCTAGTACGCTTTTTCTTTAGCTCTCTCTCCAATCTCTGGGTATTGGACATTATTTTTTTTTTTATCAACAACTGGAAAGATAATGAAGACTTATCTACAAAATTTGCAAATAACACAATGTTGAGAGAGATATATATAATGGACAAATGACAAAATAATGTTTGAAATGACTGAGCTAGACCAAATGGATAAAAAAGAATATGACATTTAATAGCAATTCATATGTATCTGCAATTAGATTCAAAGAGTCAATTAAAAATGGCAAATACACAATTAGAGAGGAGGGGACACTGCCTTAATAGCACACCATATGAAAAAAAAAAATCTGATTTCAATTAACCCCAAGATTAAAATGCATCAACAGTGGGATGGGGCTGCTAAAACGTTAATTCATGCAATAGACAGGTGCTGTCCTAACCATGGAACATGACTGGCCACTGTTCTGGACTAGTCAGGTCACACCTGAGCGCTGGTCTCCATCCCAGCGGCACCTTTTAGGAGGTTCTCTAAAAAAACCTAAGGGGCTTTGAGATGAGAACAACCAGGAATGATGAAGTCACTAAACCATCTAATTTAAGAAAAGGCTGAAAGAAATGGGGATGTTCTACCTGGAGAAGAGAAAATTAGGGGAGACATGATGGCCGTCTTCAAATGTCTGAAGGATTGCTATGTTGAAGAGGGAGTAGAATAGTCGTGTGTTGTTCTAAAGGGCAGAACTAAAACTAAAGGAAAGAAAGTTATAGGGAAATCATTTTAGTTAAAAGTAAAATAAAATAAAATAAAATAAAAAGCAAAAATCCCCTCTCCAACGAGGAAAGCCACCAGCAGACAAATAGCACTCTCTCCGGAAGACTTGCAGAAAGGCATCCTAATGGGAGGTTAGGTCAGAAGAATCTTAGAATCCCTTCCAACTCTAGCATGTCCAAATCAGAGCTCCTGAACGTTGTGGTTTGAACTAGCCTGCAGTTTCTCAGACAGGCGCCATGTGAGAATCTGCACTGCTACCTTAGAGGTGTCATTCACGGGACAGAGGCAGAACGTGACCACCAAACGGTGTGGATCCCTTCAAAGCAGGCACCTGAGATGGCTGCATTCTTATTCCAGAGCTGCTAGTGCTCAAAGCCTCCCCAACGCTCATTTTGAAAGATTTCAGTCTGTTTCTGGCTCACATAAGCTACAGTCTCCCTGTTTCATAGCCACACCTACTATATTGCTGGTAGACACAAACTATCCTGCTCATCTGGTACAGTCAGAGCTGAGCCCTCAGCGAGAGTCCAATGGTAAACAAAATAACTGACCCATTTCTCATCAAGTCTACTGAGCTTGATCATCTGTCTTAATCAAGGCCAGTTTTCCAATGACATTTGAATGAGTTCAAAATCCTAATTCATCCTCAGACATATAAAAATTTAACATTATATACAAATTAATATTACATAGGCTCTTAAATGCTCACAAAATGTAAAATAAATCTAAACAAAGGTAGCATGACCAGAATAAGAATATAACCTCCCAAGTTCATTGCTTTGAGGAAATGTAATATCCTATTTTTCTTTTGTTTTTCAAAGCATGCTACTTTCTAGGCATATGTCATGTTTTGAACTCAATTATAAAGACCTGAAAAACTAGTACTATAAATCTTTTTCTTTTCCATATTCCTTTGAATCCTTAAAGTTGGTTACTATCCTCATTTCCAAAAATGATGCTTTTTCAAATAAACATTCCAGGCACTTAAAATAGATAATTTGTTCAAACCCAAGAAATTGTTATTGGTATGGATTTAATAAATTGTATTATTTGAATGTATGCTAAACACATTATAACATTTGGTATCAATGTGTCCTTTCCTTACTACGAATGTCCTAATCTATTTCTACAACTCTCAGCCAAAAGCTTTTAATCTCCTCATACATATTATCCTTATAATAGGAAACAATCTTTAGCTTCCTTAATGAAACCCCCCCCCCAAAAAAACCCTAAAATTTTATAGTCCCCTAAATATATCTATGAATTTAGAGACATTACTAAGAATGATTCCAAATCTAAATACTGTCACCACAGTGAGAATTTTAATGAAAGTTAGCTGGGCATCAGTCAGCTCATTGTCTTTGTAAGTAAGTATCAGCGTAATAAATAGTTATCCACTATTTCCTTTTGTATTTTAACAGAATGCCTGGTACCCAGTAAATAAAATTAAGAACCTGTTAAGAATTGCAGTGAAGATTTTGTTCTTTATAGACTGCAGCAAGTCTGAGTTGAGGAAGTTCTGACAGATGCAAAACGTGCACCTGTTGCAGGTGCACATACAGCGTAACCGGGCATGGCTGTGAAAACACACAGAAGGACAGGCGTTGAGTTCTTACTTACAGATATGGCACAAGTCAGGGTGTGCCAACTTAAAAAAATTTAGGCATAAGCAACACTAAGGAAAAGAATAGTGTGGGGCATGCTAAAGTTGTGCAGAATTCCACGTATATAAAAAGTATAGTAAACAGCTATAGCTCCCTCCTCCCTCCCTATAGAAAATCTAAGGACAAGGGAGATGGACTTATTATCGCAGGAGTTTTAGTGGAATAAATATGCACAGCAATAGCTGGCACCCTCATCTAAATTAAAAAGAAAAAAACTGAGTAAGCCATAGCACCCACTAAACGGACAAAATTTACTAACATTTAAATAACCATCCCCTCCTCCTCCTCCTCCTCTTCCCTCAGCATACACACATGCCTGAAAACCAGGAAGAAGAAGAGTGACAAATACACACAAAAATTGAAAGATGAGTATTTTCAAACCTTGAGGAGATATGAACATCATCTTTGAAATATCAAGCACCTTGATTCCCAAAGGAAATCAAAGAGCTTCATCTTGAACAAAATATAGGGTTAATTTCATCTGCTACTATGAAATTCTGGGTAAGGATATAAAAATCAACAATGATCCAACTGGTATTAGATATGAAATTTGGGGAGGCTTTCTGATTCCTTTCTGGTTGAGTGGAATTGCACTAGTTGGTACAGGCACATGGGGCAACCATTTCACCTCCGTCCTAACAACCAAAGTAGGGGGTCTCCAATGACTGCTCAGTGTCAGAGCCATCAGACACACCAAGCCTGAATCACACTACCCTGGAGAGCAGAACTGGTGCAGAACCCCCACAGAAGAGCACCGCCTGGTGAATCAATGCCATCGCTTCCTGTAACACCTGAACATTTTTGAAAGGCTTCTCAGTCAAAGGACTGGCCCAATCTGAGTTGGCTTAGCTTGTGAGATCGGATGAGACCACAGGGCACAGTGGCATGGTTGTGAAGATTTAGCAGCATCCCAATAATGCCTAATTCCCAACATGAAGAAAAACAAGAATTAATTCAAAACTTGACTTGTGATGATGAACATATCACTGCTACTAAGTCGCTGCCAGCTGTCATACTGGAATCCGTCTCTTACTTTATAAATACTGAGTCAGACTGTTCAACATACACCGGCTCCACCCACCAAAAAGGAAGGGTGCAAAGTATGCTTAGCAACAGGGAGATACTTCATGAGAAGGAGTTTGGGATTAACCATATAAACAAGTGTCCAAGTATGTACATTTATCATACACACACACACACACACACACACAAAGTGCAGTAAAATATTAAAAGGTACAGGTCTAAAAGGTGCAGTTATTTGCAAGATTAAAATAGTGCATTTACACAGTAAACAAAGGACACCATAATACACAGTTAGGCAGTAAGCCTGACCAAGCAGTGCGTTTCTGGATAATCACTAAGTCTTAATTATGGCAAGAAAGAAGACTTGCTCATCTATAAGAAAATGTCAACAAAATCCCACAGAAGCCATAAAGAAAAAGTAACTTACAAAGCTGTTTTTAGAAAGACCCAGACTTTTCTCAAATTCTCTATTCTATCAGTGTTGCCCGTGTCTCGCGAGAGTTTGTCTCTGTAATGATCCTCTCTGTAGATACATATATGAGAGTTTTAAAGCAAAGGTAAAACATAAATAAGGCTGTGCTTATCTTATAGTAATAGAAATGACTTGTCTTCCAACATAAATAGAACTGCAAGGGTTTACTGCATTTTTTAGAAAGTATTAATTAGTTAATGGGGGAATAGCAGTCAAGTTAACTCTGACTTGAAAAATCTGTAACAAACAACTTTCTGAAAAAAAAACTCAGCTTACAGCAATGTTTGATTACTCTTTCATACTGTAGTTTTCATAATAATAATAATTTAGAGAATAACAATTATAAATAAACTATAAAGTCCCGAGAAACGCACTGCCTGAAAACTATCTTGTTACAAAACAGAATTTATACATAGTGCTCGAGGAGAATGCCATTAAGAACCATGCAATTTTAAGGCAGTTAGTAAACTATGAAGATGACCGGTTATGTGCTTGTGCATGTGCATGTATAGATATACAATAAATGTACATAAATGTGATATAACACAATGTAAAACATTTATATAGCAGGAATTCCAATTACAACTACTTGTTACCGCACTTAAAAAAGACATCATATTCTGAACTCAAATATACCCATAATTTAACTTTATGAAAGATTTTAGTATCCCTCACACACTCAAGGTCAATTAATCAACAGAAAAATATAAAAATGAACTTTGTTCATATGGAAATACCTTACAAGCATAAAGCAACATGTGCCAACCCCACTTTATTGCAGTAAAGACTGTTTTTTTTTTTTTTTAATGCTGGGTGAGGAGCTTAGTTTTATTATACTATCCTATTAAGATAGTTATAGCATGCTCAAATACATTCAAATACTGTCAGCACTGTTTAAATAAATTTATTATGGCACCCAAACCAAATGTGCATTTTTCTCAAATTTGTACCTTCTCATTATAATCTCTTTCTGTTGCTGAACAACTTCTATGGACAAAGGTTCCACCCTCATGGCTAATAATGGCATGCAATGTCGTTGTGAACCATGCAACATGAAAATGATGGCAGAGTGAGTACTTACGGGTACATGGCCATTGTTGTCAATTTAACAAAGATATCTTTACTGGGTGCCTCAGTGGTATTGCAAGTGAAGGCTTGTGGTGGAGGCATTTTGTGTTTTCTGCAGAAATCAGCAGGTGAAATACTATATTCTTGTTTAACTTCATGCAGGTCTGACTTTGCAGCTATGATTAAGCAAGGTATTCTGCTATCCATAAAGTGTTGCTGTGGAATAAAAATGAAACAAAAATCTGATGACAAGTTCAAGAATTACTCTGTTTAATTAAATGTATACTAAAATTTTTCTCTGGATAGGCAAAGCAACAATAGTGGTCCAGGTCAGTCTCATAATACGACCAGGGCCACTTTTCTAATGCTGGTAACAATATAAACCTGTAATGCTTCCTCAGATTCATCGAATTTGAAAATTTTTTTAATGAAAAAGACATATTTTGAAATAAAAAAAATTCCATAAAGTCTTCTATTCTAAAGCACACTATTTTCTTTTTTCATATTGCCTTCAGTCTTAAAAAAAAAAAAATTTTTTTTTTTTTTATTGACTTCAAAGAGGAAGGGAGAGGGAGAGATAGAAACATCAATGATGAGAGAGAATCATTGATTGACTGCTTCCTGCATGCCTCACACTGGGGATTGAGCTTGCAACCTGGGCATGTGCCCTTGGCTGAAATCGAACCCAGGTCCCTTCAATCCAAAGGTCAGTGCTCTACCCACTGAGCCAAACAGGTGAGGGCTACCTTCAGTCCTTAAGCACATGCATTTATATACTACATTTTATATAGTGTCCGTCATGCTGGATATAAACATTAAAAAATATATAATACCGAATCTCCCATGTTTTCAGAATTCAAAACCATTGTTTTTAATGGCTGTTTAATAGACCACTGGATTATTTTATCTTAATTTGGTAAAATATCTTCTCCTATTCTTAGACATCTAAATTATTTCTAGTTTTTTGCTATTAAAAATAATGCTAGAATAAATTCCTTTGTACATATAGTTTTATGTACAAAAGAATCAAATCTTGTTAAAATCTCAAAGTGACTAATAACTTTTTAAGCCTCTGGTTTTCCCCCTTGCTCTGTTATTCATGACGGACCTGGCAATACACAACCCATGTGCATCCCTAACAGCCAAGAAGACCTTCCTTTGATACAGGGGGTCTTAACCAGGAATGCACATCAGAGCCATGCCTGGAAAAAAAATGTTTTTAAAAATACAGATGTCTGAGACCTTACACCTTAGAACAAAACCAGAACCTTTAGGGACAGGACACAGATGTATACACTTTTTAAAAGTTCCACAAATGATTTTCTTGGTTAGAAACCACCACATTACAGTTCCATTAAACTGCATAGAAAGTTAAACTTAGTTATACACCAAAAGAGCAACAAACCTTAAAAATCCTGGCACAGTATTCAAAGGATTTGGGATTACTGACATCGTATACGAGGCATACAACATCACAAATGATCTCAGCCTCAGTTAGAAATTCCGATTCTGAGATATCATGCAACTTGTAAAAGGAAAAAAAAAAAAGAGAAACATAAATATCATAAAATCAATGAATAATTAAAGTCACGATGTTTTACTATTTGTTTAACTTAACTTCCTAATTAAAAGATACTAGTTAAGCATACATTTTCAGACCATTTTTAGAAGTGGGAAGTGCGAATAAGTATCTTCTCATTTTGTGAATTAAAAATGGTGATCGGGATTTATAAGAGCTAACATTTATTGAGTGACTAAAGTGTACTGGGCAGACCCTTTATCTGCATTCTCTACATTCTATAGATAAGATGACAGGCTATGAAATTAAGTCAACTGCTTAAAATAACACTTCTAACAAATCATTGCACCAAAATTTCAACATAGATATGATTCAAAGTCTATTTTCATTCTATCATACTACCTTTTCTCCCCACCAATCAAAACCACAAAGAACTTTTCACACTATGCTCCACTTGTTCTTCTTTATTGCCTGCACTTTTTAAATGTTAACTGTAAAACTTCTAAAGAAATATCTCATCTATGATATGATAATAATCCAACAAAGTAAAATCTGGGACTGAGTTATATAAGATAGTGCCTCTTTGTTGAAGAGAAGAAAGGGGAAGTGTAGAGTCAGAAGTGACTCAATATTCTCCAAATAAAACACTATTATAACACAAGCATTCAGACGTGAAAGATGCTAATTTACAAATAATACTGTAAGAATAAAAACAGGAAAATTAACAGTCAGCAATATTTACTGAGTACACAGTAGGTAAAGAATAGGAGATAAATAAGGTATAATAAGAAACTGGCAAAAAACTTTTATCATAGGGTAAAACTCAAGTGATCATTTGTCTGGCAGAACATTATAATGTCTCTAATATTAGCTAACTTAAGAAACTCAGGCTCAGAGAGAGTAAGCCACTTGCCTGAGGTAACACAGCTAACCAATGGTCAACCAGCGTTCAAAATGAAATCTGACTGGGTCAAAAGAGAACATATTAATCTCTCTCTACTGCATTTCATAGTATCTTTTCAGTTATACCCTTCTTTCATTCATTTTTCTTAGGCTCACACATTTGTTAAGTATATTCCTTCCCCACTAAACTCAATTCTGATTATAGATACACTATCAAGCACCTGCACTAAGGTTTTCATATTAATTTCTAATTAACAGTAGAGAATAATGTTTTAAAATAAAAGGGCAAGAAAAAGTAGTTAATATTTTTACTTTCTTATTGTCATATAACATACAATTAAACACAAATAGATGAATTTTTACTTATAGCTATACCCTTGTAATTACCATAAATATCAAGGGAATTAAAATTAATTCCAATGAATAAGCCAGGTTTTGGGGGGGGGGGGAAATCACATGAAAGTTCCATATACAGCCATTAAATTAAACCCAATTAGTTTCCAAAGTGTCCTTTAAAAATATACGTAATAATTAATCATCTTTATATACCAGAAAACTTACCAATAAATATTTCTCTTGTCCATATACATAAACAGTGTTAATCGCATAGTAGGATTTATGATCATCACGAATTTTCTTCTGCCTCTGAAAAGAACCAAAAGTTTTAATATTTATAGTAAGATATTACAGCAACTAATTGTCATCAATACATATACCTGTGGGTCTGTCAAATAAAAGGGCATTCTTCCCTGCACTATGTATTATTTTTCAATACAAAGGAGGCACTGACTTCATGTTTCTTAGTTCTTAAGGTCTAAAACAAAAGATGCATTTGCTCAGTACTTGTGAAGGCAATGACTGAAAAGGAAGTAAACTACATTATTGAAACTGTATTCCAGAGCCGCCTGCTGGCACTTCTCATTATACTATAATTTTATCTGATATGAGACTCATCTGGAAATACGTCAATCTCCTTACTCACAGCAGCAGTCAGAATGGGATTTCAGCATTTCATTCTAAGTCTCTCTACTGTATATTCACTTCATGCCAAGCACTGTTAGGACTTTCACAAGTACATTCATTTAATTTTCATCTAAACACTGATTAAAAAAAAAAATGATAGCCAACATAAAAAAAACAAAAATAGGGTGGTGAACAATAACACAATATACAGATAACATATTATATAACATTGTACACCTGAAACCTTTGTAATTGTATTAACCAATGTCACCCCAATAAATTCAATAAAAAAGTATATTGAAAATAAATAAACAAGCAAAGATAAAGCCAGTTCAACAGAATTATTGTTACACTTTATTTTTAAAAAATATATATTTTATTGCCTTTTTTACAGAGAGGAAGGGAGAGGGAAACTTCGATCAGCTGCCTCCTGCACACCCCCACTGGAGATATGCGCTCGACCAAGACACATACCTCTGACAGGAACTGAACCTGGGACCCTTCAGTCCGCAGGCTGATGCTCCATCCACTGAGCCAAACCATATAGGGCTATTGTTAGACTTTAGATTATACTGTACACAGGTCACTGAGTTATATAATTATCTAAAAAGGTTAATAGCTATAAAAATTATGTAACCTCATGACTATAAAAATTTGTAGGATAAAACTGTATTTTTCTCACCATTAAGTTTCTTCCAAGAAGGGCCTGAAGAACTCCACTTTTCCCACAGTTTTTCATCCCAATGACATTACATCTGAACACATTTCTTTGAGTCTGTTTTTTCTGAAGATCTATCTTTTTATCTCTTGTTACTAAAAAGGAAAAAAAACCACAACTAATTATGTACCACTTAGACTCACTGACCTTCATTTACCTTCTGCTAAATAGGGTATTGCTACTTTTCTCTTATCAATAAATAAACATACTGTACAACAGTCAAGCTGTGTGTGAAATAAAGTACTAAATATGATACAGAAGGGCCTCACTTAGTGGAAAAGATGCATATCTGAAAAGTTGGCTGCCAAGTGACCTTCTAGTAACCAAATGAAATATATCCTATATAATGAAAGCCCAGCGACCAAATGGCAGAACAACCGAATGAGTGGAACAACTGCGGCCCCTTGACCTGGCCAGCCCCACCCCCGACCAGCCCCCATCGGGGCAGGCCGACCGGACCCCACCAGTGCACAAATTCGTGCACTGGGCCTCTAATTTAATAATAAAATAATACATTTCATAAGGAAAATGATACCTTAAAAATGAATTAAAATTATAATAAATATAGCCTACATTATATCTCACCTATCTTTTTTTTTCTGTGATAAGTTATTGTCATAATGAGTTACAAGCTAAAAGATGCTCTCTGAAATCAGCACTCTCTTGGATCTATGAATGGTCAAGGGATATGCACTCTGGGGTTAACTGGCCTTTCTAATGGAAATCTGTAAAAGCGGCAGGCCAGGAAACAATGCTGTATCAGCCGAGAAATGGGGCATTTCTTTTTGAGGTACAGAGACCCTAAGCTATAGCTAAAGATTCAATTGCAACAAAGCACACCAGAGGCAAATAACTGGAAATGATAAAAAACACATATTAGTTATGGGTTAAATAAGTTATAGAACATCCATATGATGACACATTATTTAGCACCAAAGATACATAAAAGTCGATTAATGATATAGAAAGATGTCCACAGTATTTTGTTGCATGAAAAAAGCCTCATACTGGCTGGCAATTAGTTCCTTACTCTTTGATGATGGACTAAAATACTGTTTGTTCATTGGTTAAGATGTTAAAGGGCTCTGTCACTTTAAGATTGGCTGTCTTCTTGTGCTGGGGCTTCCTGTAAGATGCAGCATTCCCCTCTCCCCCCCAATTGGGATATAAGAAACTCTTGAAATATCAGTTCCCTAATGTGTTAATTTTCATTCCTATGGGTTTTCTTTAAATGGGGGACATTGCTTGGCAAGAATTATAAGATTTGTGAAAAACTTATGAATGTGGAAAATGGTTACAAAGCTGAGAGATGTACAATCAGTTCAATATCAGGTTTATGTGTTAATATGCATTGTGTTTTTTTTTGTTTTGTTTTTAAAATATATTTTATTGATTTTTCACAGAGAGGAAGAGAGAGATAAAGAGTTAGAAACATCGATGAGAGAGAATCATCGATCAGCTGCCTCTTGCACACCCCCTACCGGGAATGTGCCTGCAACCAAGGTACATGCCCTTGACCGGAATTGAACCCGGGACCTTTCAGTCCGCAGGCCGACGCTCTATCCACTGAGCCAAACCGGTCCCGGCAATATGCATTGTTTTAATGTTCAAAGAAAATTAAAACACATATTAACTTCATGCCAAGCACTGTTAACTATATTTTTAATGCCTGTGGCTCCCCCTGATTTTCATCAGTGGAGTAGCCTCAGGGTTAAACTAGAAGTAAAAACTATGCTCTCTTTTCTGATAAACAATAAAATCAAGCATCTTAATGCAAAAGGAATGATCAAATCACAGGGAAAACAAATAAGAGTGTAGACATGGAAGACTAGCAAAGATATATTTATGTTCACTTTTTTTACATATGAAAGTGGAACCTTCAAAATGTTTCTAATTTTTTTACTAATTATATTTACTTACCTGTAATGGCTGAAGCTTGAGACTCTTGTTCAGTCAATATTGAATAGCCTAAGTAGCCCAAATATTCCAGGCACCGCTGTACATCTAAATAGGTTGTGAGCCTAAGAAATAGAGTTTAAAATGTGAGAAGTTCCTCAATGAACATTTATAGAAAAAAAAAATTCCAATAGCTCAAAGAATTTTACCATCAGATGTAGATGACTTTTGTCAGGCTGCTTTAATTTCCCATGTGCCCAACCAGGGCCCTTTCTACAAAGCATTCTTAAGACAGAGAAGGGAGGAGAATGCAAGATGTGGGGGGATTCCATATCTCCCTGCCCAGAGAGAGCAAGGCCACATAGATGAGCAGTGAGCTGCTGGTAAATCTAGAGCAGGGATTTTTGAAAATTATTTGCTTCCCAACTTACATAGTACATTGCAAATATTGGCTAGTTGAGCACTTAATGATAATCTGAAAAGGTTTGTGAATGGAGCAAAAATAACTAAAAGGTACAAGTCTTTTTGTGGGATAACACCACTCATACAACATCCTTACCTAATTACTTGAAATTAGGTAGTCTTTTTATGATTTGAAAAAAGAATAGATTCTGGTATTAAGAAAAGTTACTCTCACCAAGATTAAAGTAATGATGTCCTCATATATGACCAGAGGATTACCTTAGCATCCTAAATACAATGTCTGCTAGGCTATACCCAGACTGTAGACAAACACTCACTAAGAGTGCGTGACAAACAATGAAAACCCTTAAGTCTTCAGTGCCAAGATATGCTCTTCCCATATACTAAAGGTGTAAAGAATTTTGCAATAGCAATGATGTTTCTAATTCTCTTAATAAAAAAAAGGATTGGGGGGGGGGGAATGGTAAGATATGTACACACACAGATAATAATTTAATAAAAATTTTTTTTAAAAAGAAAAAAAAAGGATTAAAATTTAGCTCACTTTTTATATGACTTATTACTGTTTCCATGTACATCATCTAAAAGCAAACAGATCCCTTCACTATCAATCCTGCTTATTATGACTGAAACACCTAGTAAGATCTGAAAAACTTACAAAATGATTAACATAATGCAACGTAATTCTAAAGTAGTGGTAATTCTAGAGCAAACAGGTGAGCTCTATACTCACGTCCACTGGGAAAGGAATCCCTGGTAGGTTATCCAGCCTCTTTCATTTGTACAAACTGTGTTATTCACATCTGGCCCCCAGGGTATATAAGGGAAAACTTTAAATAAATCTTTAAGTTCATCAGGTGACAAAGCACAGTCTCTATCCTGAAGATACACAAGGAAGTATACATATGTTAGATTCCCAAACATGAAAGCCCCTTGTCTAGTAAATCTATGCTTCTAAAAATTAACATATGAAAAGAAATTTTACATTTTATCAAGGAAATGTCTTACATGTTTATAAGAAAACTTATACAAGAGTCTATAAACTAAACTTTTTCATCTTGAGAAAATAATAAAAATAGGAGTACTTTTGCTACTTTAACTTAAGAGAGTTTACCGTATTTTCCGGCGAATAAGACGACACTGTGTTCTATTAAAAAGCCTGCTCAGATTGGCCAGAGTCAGAGAGGCGTCTATTAAAAAAAGAACTGGTGTTGCCTCGGAAGTGGGGGGTAGTCTTATACAGCAAATGTAGGCCTAAACCTATGTTTTAACTAAAATTAGGGGGTCATCTTATACACCCAGTCGTCTTATACGTAGGCAATTTTGGCTACGGGACATGAGTACCCCAAAACTAAGGGAACAGAGTTAAATCACTCACTGAAAAATATCTTATCATGGAAAATTACAGCTAAAAGCTTACCAAATCATGTTTGTCAAAGGTGCTTTGGAGAAACAAATACGCATGATGATTTAATTCAGTAGTGCAATCAGGAGGTATTTTTAGCCTGTTCATGACAAAATTTAAGAGTAAAACAAATCATTAATCAAATATTGAAATTTGATTTTAAGAAATGAATATAAAACTGCAACAAGTCTTTTTGTGGGGAAACACCACTCACACAATATCCTTGCCGGACAGGTGGACTCTCCAGAGGAAAGTCACTAGAATGGCCTGGCAAGCCTTAGGGTCAAAATAATGCTCATTCCGAGTTGACATGTAAAGTGCTCTTAAATATCTGAAGGGCAGGTTGAAATAAGTTTTTTTAAAAAATAAATAATACTGATTAAACCATTAACAGGTTTGTTCCTCCTCTATAAACAAATTGTGAGTCATAATTATGTCAACACGGTAATGAGTTGAAAATGATGCAGAGATGTTATTTCTGCCTGATTTGACCTTTTTGATTCACCCTAAATTTAGTTTAATAAACTTTTATCAAATGCACTGAGCCAGGTATTAGGGATACAAAAAGAAGACAAGCTTCTCCCCTCTAAGAAACCATATTCAAGTGGGAGATGGACCACAGATAACTTCACTATTGCAACAGAATGGGACAAGTATGAGCAAGCTGAGGATGCTTGGGGAGCCCACGTGAATTGGAACATCTGTGTCCTGGGGATGGAAGGTGTCAGCGCCGCTGAGAGACACTGTCAAATGAATTGAGACTTGAAGGATAAGAGGAATTAATTAGGTTGAGGGGAGAGGGAGGGAAAGAGTGGAAATACCATGGGTAGAAAATATGATTGGTGGACTATAAATAGTTTCGTATTTACTTCTAGAATGAAGGCAGGGAGTGAGCATGAGCGGATCAGGAATGATCTCATGTACCATGTTAAGAAGCTTGGGCTTTATCCTGTCTTGAAGGGAAGTGCCAAGGTTACATCTGTATTTATATATCTATTCAATCTAGCAACAGTGTGAAGGACAGAGGCAGAGTTTAATAAGAAAGCTAGAAAAATTCAAGTGGCAACTCTAAGCGGCTATTTTGCAGAAAATTCAAGGCAGAGAAATAAAGATATTGAAAGAGATAATAGAGCCACAGAGCCATAAGAGATGGGAGTTTTCTCACTGTCATACTTAAGAAAGCAATAAGCAACCCCTTGTAGAATTTATCTACCCACATAAATGGTACAGAAAAAAAAATCTTGACAAAAACGTTATGGACAATTTCATTCATTCATTCATTCAATATAGATTTATTGAAAAAGCTGGAAAATTACTGGAGCCAAAATTTAATTTAGTAACTTTGACAAGAGAGGTTTCAAGTTAGAACTGATTGATGGACCAGGAATCCAACCAAAAAGAACTCTGCTTCCTTAATGTTGGGGGGGGGAAACAAATGGCAAAGTCCTGAACTCTTACATACTAGTTCTGCATATTTTATTTTAGCATAGGGGTGCTATGCTAAAATAAAAAAGGACGACATGAAGATTACACGCTGCTGAAAAAGTGAACAAGAAAGGCCAAAGCTTCAAAGGCCAGACTTTGGGAAGTCACTTCCCTGTTACAGGAGTGGCATCCTACAGCAAGGCAGGCTCCTGTTTTGGGGTGACACTGGGCACATTTTTATTTATTTATCACAAGAGGCGGGGGAGGGGAGGTGTCCCTCAGCCCGGCCTGCAAAGAAACTAGCATCCCTCACCCCGGCCTCTAGCCAGAGGCTCCTCCCATCTTTCCTGCAGCCTCTGGGAAGATGCTTATCCTGGGTCTTCCTCAGGGCCCTGGCCCATAATGCCCAGCAACTAGGATACTCAGGGGCTTGGGTTCTCAGGTCCAGCTTCCCTGCTCTGCATGGTGCGTATCAGCTGCCAAGGGAGCTGCGCCTCAGGAGTTGCCCCCTTGGACCATACTACTTTTGAGTGCAGGGGGTGGGGGAAGACCTTGGCAGCAGTGATTTGATATCTGTAGGCGCCTGCTAGACATCCCCGCCCCATCATGGCATCACGCTGGTCACGTCCAGACTGCAGGCAGGGGGCTTCCAGTCTGAGACTAGGGCTGCCAGGCTGGGACTAGGGGCTGCAGGTGGAGGGCCCTGGCACCCATAGGGCTCCATCTGCATCAGGAGCTGGAAAGATCCATTTTTCTGGGTCTTCCCCTCCCTCCACGCAGCCAGGGTGCTAACTCTGGGCTTGTGTCCCCACAGGCCCCTTCCCGCCCTCTGTGCAGCCGGGATGCGGACGCTGGGCTCCTGTCCCCACAGGCCCCTCCTCTCCCTTCGTAGCCAAGAAACAGACGCTGGGCTTGTATTGCTGGGGTGATACTGCCAGTGTCTGCTATGGTTGCCGCTATTTTTGTCGCAGAGTGACAGTTAATTTGCATATTACTCTTTTATTAGATAGGATTATTATCATTATTTTTTTAAAGGTTGGTCCTATTTTAAAAAAATATATTTTATTTACTTATTTATTTTTTTACAGAGAGGAAGAGAGAGGGACAGAGAGTTAGAAACATCGATGAGAGAGAAACATCGATCAGCTGCCTCCTGCACACCCTCTACTGGGGATGTGCCGCAACCAAGGTACATGCCCTTGACCGGAATCAAACCCGGGACTTTTCAGTCCTCAGGCCAATGCTCTATCCACTGAGCCAAACCGGTTTCGGTGATAGGATTATTTTTAATCCTCACCCAAGGACGTGTTTAGAGAGAGGAAGTGTAGGAAGGAGAGAGAGAACCATTGATTGTTGCCTTTCCATATATGCCCCAACTGGGGACCAAACTGCAAGCCAGATATCTGCCCTGACCAGGAACTGAACAGGCAACCTTTTGGTGCACGGGACGATGCTCTGACTGAGCCACTCCAGACCGGCTGGGTCCATTTTTAAACAAACAGAACGTAAACACAGCACTATTTAAAGAAAAACAATCACAAATAGACTGCTTGTTTAGGAAAAAACGCTTATTTTATCCTAAGCTAAGAACAGATTATAAACCTTAGGAAGGAGAAGGGCTAATGAAAAAAAAAAAAAAGTTAACCAATATACTTCTCATCTATTGACTTCAAAAACAGTTTGCCTAGCATATTTTTTCTTTTTTCTCAGTAGAATTTTTAAAAATACTTGTAGCCTGGCCAGAGTGGCCAGTGGTTGAGCATCCATCTACAAACCAGGAGGTCAGTTCAATTTCCAATCAGGGCACATGCCTGGGTTGTGGGCTCAATCCCCAGTGTGTGGCATGCAGGAGGCAGCCAGTCAATGATTCTCTCTCACCATTGATGTTTATATATATAATTTCATACACACACACACACACACACACACACATATACATGTAATTCCCCTTTCCCTTCCTCCTTGAAATCAATAAAGATATATATATATATATATATATATATATATATATATATATATGTGTGTGTGTGTGTGTGTGTGTGTGTGTGTGTATGTGTGTGTGTGCATGTGTGTGTGTGTATATGTATGTATGTATGTATGTATATATATATATATATATATATATATATATATATATATATATATACCATTCACAAAAAACACTTGTATTCTCCATGAGAAGAAAAGGAAAGTCTGAGCCATTCTACAAATCAGTGGCTCTCCACTGGGGATGATTTTAGTCCTGAGGGAACATTTGGCAACTTCTAGAGATGCTAGACATTTTCACTTGTTACAGTTATGGGAGGAGGTGTTACTGGCATCTAAGGATGTTCTAAAAATCTTATAATGCATGGGACAGACTCTATAGCAAAGAATCATCCAGACCAAAATGTCAACAGAGCCGAGTTTGAGAAACCCTATTTCAAATCTCTCTATAAATCTAAATTATTCCTGAGTACCCCAAAGCCTACCTATGTGCTAAATAAAACTTTAAAATACTTGGCAATTAAAATTAATTAGAAAGCCAAAGATACATACAAGGGGAATAAATATTCAGGTGTCAATCCTAGGTCATCATCATAACCAAATCGTCGAAGCACAGTCCAAGTAGTTTCATGTCTCCCTCTCTGGATAAAAAGTGTGTGTAAAAAAAGAAAACCTGAAATAAAATGAATTAGTAAGCACAGTTGATGTGAAAAAGAGCACAGGCTCACACGGGAGAAAAGCATGCAACATATAATGGCTAGCACTACATTCATTAACCTAGGCTTAATATTGTAGTTTTGCATACTGACGGTCAAATCAAAACAAAATTCACAAGTGTCTCAATAAAAACAGAGCTGATTTCAGAATCCTTCCATATATATACCCAGGTCAGCAAGAGATGGCACCAGAAGAAAGGGCCAAAACATATCCCAAGGAATACAGACATTCACAAAGTTAGGTGATAAAAACAAAGGAAATTGTGTTATGGATCTTTGCGTTTTATAATAAAAAGTTCTGGTTTTCAATTTCATTTCTTATTTTACCATGTTCTATCACACATTCTACAGGGAACATTGTATACTCGGTAAATCTGACTGATAGGCAAAATGTCTTCCCTAAAAGTAATTTCTACTTAAAGGATGCTTATGAATCAGAAGAACTTTAAGATAAATTTGTTCCAGAAATCTTTCTCCTTCAGGTGGACGTCAGCATTCCTGAGATCCCACCAACTTCACTTCCTATAATTTATGCTGACAGGGAAGATAACTATCCCCTCCAAATTGCCTGTCTATTCCAACTCCTACATGTCCAAGTTAGATTTCATATATATGAGTAAGACTAACATTTCCTTAAAGTATAAATAATGCTATAAAGACCTTATACCAAATTTTGAAATTATCGAGTTCAAAAAGGGAAGAACACCATTCACTCACCTTTCAGTGTCAATCCACTATCAGCCACACCATCACTTATATGTTTTCTGACTACATTCTTGACATCTTCTAGAGCCTGAGGAGCTAATGGAGTGTTGAAACAAATTCTCTAGCAAAAAAACAAACAAACAAATAAACAAAAACACACAACAAAAATCAGCATTAAATATACAATATATAAAAACATTTATCTAAAAAGCAATATTAAATCAATGAGTTGCAACCAAAAGAAACAAATTATAAATTAGGATTTATAATTTGAATTATTTATGTAAAACATAATTATTTATGTAAAATATAATTATTTATGTAAAATATGTCACTTAGAAGGAAAGAAACCTTCCCTACTCTCCCCTTCGTATTTCTAAAACATGGAACTCTTTGTGAAGCTATGTTATATAAAACCAAGAATGAAAAATAACTCAGAGTTCAGATTTCGTCATCCTTAATACACATTCATTATGTACCATGAAATAACGCTATCAAAGAGTATCCTTGATTCCTATGCATGAGTTTTATACCCTAAGCAAATACTTAAATAGCTTGATATGAAAGATACTTTTTACATGAAACAGACTCAAGTTTATCAACAAATCACTGCTTAAGCTAATAAATTCTGATAGCTTTTCTCAGCCACCCTCTCCCCTCAAACACACAAAAACAAGGTACACAGACACCAGAAAAAGAGGAAGGTTACCTGAAAGAAGTTGAGTTCAGCATCATTGAGAGTGCCATCATTATCTTGATCAGATATTTTAAATATACGAGTAAGGGCTTTTATACAGGCTGGCTTCATCTAGAAGTCAATGAGAAAAGAAACAATTGTTTTAATTAAAATAGCTTGGATTTTTAAATATGATTTTCATAAGGAAGGCTAAGAATAATTCTAATTGTTCTCACCATCAAATATGTAACAGCAAATACAACCAGTGTGAAAAATGAACTAAAGCAAAGCCATTTATTTTTATGCTCAAACCTTTTTAAGTAAATGAGGACCAATATTTGGAATGATCAAACACCCCCCTCATGACCACAAATCCTCCAAGGATAGGCAAGAGAAGTACATCTTTAGAGACTATTCATTCTTCCAGTCATTTCTATCTATTAGAGGCCTTGTGCACGAATCTGTGCACTGGTAGGTCTGGCTGGCCTGGCCAAGGGGAGGGGCCGAGGGAGGGTGGCTGGCTGGCCCCGCCCCCTTTGGGGACTGGCTGGGGGTAGGGGCCACAGGAGGTTGCTTCCCGTATGTAACTAGGATCAAACCTGCAATCTCTCTGTATGTGCCCTGACCAGGAATCCAGCTCACAACCCTTAGGGGTACCAACGATGCTCCAATCAACTGAGCCACTGGCCAGAGGCAGGCTTAATTTTTTAATATGATCTTTTTGTTAATCCCAATCTGTGTTAAAGGCTGTTATTGTCTAAATAAAAGCTTCTGGTGTAGTTTAGACTCAACGCTTGTTCTTGTGTAAAACAAGGGATAGTCTCCAAATTTGTAGATTTGACTTCAAGCAGATCTACCTATGAAATGAATAACAGATGGTGGTATTTTATTCAGGTGACTGGGGAATGGGCAGGGGTGGGGGTGATTAGCAGAACTAATAATAAACCTAAGTAAAAAGCAATTAAAGAATTGAGAACTAACAGAGGCTATTTAATGTACCAGTAGGCTAAGGGCTCAGAGGTAAATCTCTATAGTATGAGACTGCTTCCCAAATTTCCTTGATCATAAGATTAAATTTTCTGGCTGAATCAGAATGTAGTCTGTGGTTTTTTTGTTTTTAAAAAAAATATATATTTTATTGATTTTCCACAGAGAGGAAGGAAGAGGGATAGAGAGCTAAAAATGTGGATGAGAGAGAAACATCGACCAGCTGCCTCCTGCACACCCCCTGCCGGGGATGTGCCCGCAACCAATGTACATGCCTTTGATCAGAACCGAACCTAGGACCTTTCAGTCTGCAGGCCGTTGCTCTATCCACTGAGCCAAACCGATTTTGGCAGTCTGTGTTTTTAACAAGTATGTCTAGTGACTATGATCAAGCAAATTTGGGAAATTCTGGATTAAGAGTAAATTAAAAAGAAGCATTCTAATTAAGGAACTGTAAACCAGGATTAAGAAAAAGAAAATCAAGGTCATATTAACGAATAAGCAAATAACCAACAGGAAAAATGAAGAATGTCATGGGAGTACTTATATAGCAAGAGAGAATAAAATTTTCACAACATTTTTATTGATGAAATTCAAAATATAATAATAACAACAGTATAAATTTGCTATACAGGTCTACTAATGAGAATGAAAATCTAAGAAAGTTAACTTTTTGCTAAGTTGGGGTTCAAAATTAGTGTTCCCTATTATAAAAATTGACTGCAATGTTTATCTGTTAATATTGATCTGTAAAATTTTACATATTTAAAAAAATATATTTTGATTTTTTGCAGAGAGAAAGAGAAAGGGATAGAGAGTTAGAAACATTGATCAGCTGCCTCATACACTCTCTACTGGGGATGTGTCCACAACCAAGGTACGTGACTGGAATTGAACCTGGGAACCTTGAGTCTGCAGGCCAATGCTCTATCCACTGAGCCAAACCAGTCAGGGCAAAATTTTACATATTTTATCTTTGAAATATGTCTTTTTGCACAGTTATGTATTGCCAGTACTGATACATATCCCTACACATATAAAAAAATATATGTACATATATATATATTTTATTGATTTCTTACAAAGAGGGATAGAGAGTTAGAAACATCGATGAGAGAGAAACATCGATCAGCTGCCTCCTGCACACCCCCTACTGGGGATGTGCCTGCAACCAATGTACATGCCTTTGACCGGAATCGAACTTGGGGCCGAACGTGAGTCCATAGGCCGACGCTCTATCCACTAAGCCAAACTGGTTAGGGCCATACACATATAATTTTAATTGGGCACATTCATTGCTTGGAAAGTGTTTGTAGAATTATATTAGATTCTTTTCTTGATTTTTGCCTGCTAGCATGTCATTATACTGCAGTTTAGTGAGTCCTGACTAAAGACTGGGTGGAAGCTCCTCAACTGCAGAGTCAAATGAAGTATGAAACGTGGAAATTTCTTTCGTGCTTGCACTGAGATAACCACCCGTCCCCCTCAAAAAGAATAATGCTGGAACTGTAGTTTGAGCTTAGAACATACAACTGCTTTTCCAACTAAAAATTGACTTTTCTCTTTTCTTGTTTTGGCATGATAGATAAAGCACGGATAACAAAACATCACAGTACAGCGATACACGTGGTACTGAAATACTGTCAAATTATAGCTGTGCCAGTGCAATTAGCAGTGCGCCAAGCAGCACTAAGCACTGAGAAGTGTGAGTACTACATACAAGCTCTGCTGCAACTACTCAACTCTGCCTTTGGGGCAGGAAAGCAGCCACAGACAAACATAAAGGAATGAGGATGACTGTGATGCAATAAAACATTATTTATGAATGATAAATTCTAAATGTCACATAATGTCCCCATATCACAAAATATTACTTATTTTTATTTTTTTTCAGTCATTTAAAAAATGCAGCCCTGGCCCTGGCCAGTTGCTCAGTGGTTAGAGCATCGGCCTATGTACTGAAAGGGCATATACCTCCGTTGCAGTCTCAATTGCAGCCCAGGATGGTAACTAATCAATGTGTCTCTCTCACATTGATGTTTTTTTTCACTCTATCTCTCCCCTTCCCTTCCCCCTCTCTAAAAACCAAAAAGAAAAAAAAGAAAAAAAAGAGATAATACTAGTGAAAATGTAAAATGTATTTAGCTCATAGATTATACAAAAAACAAGGGGCAGACCAAATGTGGCTCACTGGTCAAAGCAGCCAACCACTCACCTATACTATAAACTTTTCCTGAAAATATCTACAACTTTTTATTTTTTAAATACTCAGCAGTAAGAAGACAAACAACTCAAGAAATAGCCAAAAGACTTAAACAGACGTTTCTCCAAAGAAGATATACAAATGGCAAAATAACCACAAGAAAAGCTGAACAACAACATTACCCACCAGGGAAATATAAATCAAAACAATAGTGAGATACCACTCACATCCACTATGGCTATTCTGTATAATAAAAGACTAATATGCAAATCAACCAAACAGTGGAACGACCAGTTCTATGACAACCAGGGGGAAGACGCTCAACGCAGCAGCTGCTCCCTGGTGGTCAGTATGCTCCCATAGGGGGAGCGCTGCTCAGCCAGAAGCCAGGCTCACAGCTGGCGAGTGCAGCTGTGGTGGCAGGGAGTGGGCCAAAACTGGCAGTTGGACATCTCCCAAGGGCTCCAGGACTGCAAAAGGGCACAGGCCAGGCAAATTTCATGCACCGGGCCTCTAGTAATAATATATAAAGAAGTGTGGGTGGAGGGGAAGGAATAACAAGTGTTGGCAAAGAGATGAAGAAACTGGAACCTTCATACAATTTAGTGGTTACTCAATAAGTTAAACATAGAATTACTAAGTGATCTAGCAACTTCATTACTAATTATACAAGGGAATTGAAAACAGATGTTCAAACTCGTGTGTTAATGTTTATAGCAGTTATATTCATAACTAGAGGCCTGGTGCACAGATTCGTGCATCAGTGGAGTCCCTCGGCCTGGCCTGAGGGGATCAGTGGCCTTCTGTGTTGCTGCAGCCCGGCCTTACCCGCCAGCTTGTCAGGCTTCATCCTGCTGTCCCTGTTGATCCTGCACAGCACCAAGTAGTGCGAGAAGTGGCAGGTAGCCAGGGAGGAGCTTGAACCAGGGCCAGGCACCGTGAGGCTCCTGCTCTCCCAGCCCACTGCACCTGCTGCTGCTGCCCAGTAGGCTTGCTGCTGCTTTGCTGCGGTCTCCACGCACCCGACTTAGGGTGATACTGGCATGCCCATGACCACACAGCCATTGGGTCATTATAGCCTTGCTCCTCGTGCCTAGTTAGTACTGATGCTGGGACCAGGAGACATGAGCCGCATGCCTGTTGGTCAGCTGAGCAGCCCTTCCACTGTGGGAGTGCACTGACCACCAGGAGGCAGCTCCTGAATTGAGCATTTGCCCCCTGGTGGTTAGTGTAAGTCATAGCTACCATTTGAACAGTTGCTTAGGCTTTTATATAGATAGATAGCCATAAAATGTAAAACAACTGAAAAGTCCATCAATAGATAAGTGGATAAACAAAATGTGAAACATATCCATACAATAAAGTATTGTCTAGCCATTAAAGAAATGAAATGTTAATATATCTATAACGTGGATGTACCCTGAAAACATTACTATGCTATGTGAAAGAAGTCAAACAGAAAGACCACATGCTGTATGAGTTCATTTATATGAAATGTCCACAAAAAGGAAATCCATACATACAGAAAGTAGACTGCCCAGAGTTGGGGGGCTGGGGGTAACTACTAATGGGTACAGGGTTTCTTTTTGGGGTGATGAAATGTTCTGGAATTAGGCAGTGGTAATGAACACACAACTGTGTGAATATAATAAAACCACCAAATTGCACATTTTAAAGGGGTAAATTTTATGGTAAGTGAATTTTAAATAAAAAATAATTAATTTTAAAAGTACATGGCAAAATCTTATTCAATTTTAGATATTTCATTAAGGAATTAATGTGTTTCTTAGCTATGAAACAAAAAAGAGTATTCAAATTTTATTACATGTTGTACCTATGTCAAATAACTACACAGGTTGTTCTTTCTTTGTGTATGTTTTTAAGTTGATGGACTTTATAGTAGCAAAGCAACTAACCATTACCTAAGTCTTTGGACTTTTTGCTGTTATTATTGCCAATTCTCCTGTTTGTTCTAATGGCATTTCCTAAAGTAGTATTTTATCTGAAATACTTTTCTGAGTATTTAATGTAAATATCTTTGAAGAAAAATACCTAGAAAATGTAAGTATAATAAACAATAAATTTAAATCACAGAAGTTTACAACAATACTTAAAATTAAAAGTTACTAAAAATCACTACCACATTAGAATTAGTACCTACACATTCCAGCCCCTACTAACACAAAATGGGGAGTCGGGGGTGGTGAGCGGAAGGGTTACCTCTTTCTCCTCTGGGCAGTACAAGGGCCCTGTAGGATGAAGAACAGCTTTCTGGGCATAATAAAAAAGCTCTGATATGTTCTTCAGATTTTTTGCTGAACACTAAGAAGAAAAAAAAAAGTTTAAAGTTTTACAATTTGGAAAAAAGCATTTTTCTTAGTAGATATCACAAGATGGTTGTCTACAAAGAGCTCAGAGGCCAACTGCAAGTTCTCTGTTTTATTTGGTTTACATGACTTCCCAAACAGCAGGAAATTTATTCCATCCCACATCCCACATCTCCCCAGTCTCCTATTCCCAACCTCAATTTAGTGAGAATTCACCAACATAAATTTCAAAATCAAACAAGGCATACCTCCACACAGGTTTCTATTTCAGTGTACTGGTTCATAATAGGAAGGATGGTCTCCATGCTACTATATTCCACTAGATCAGATTTGTTCCCAACCAATATCAAAGGCAACCTGAAATAAACAGGACATACTGTAATACTAAGGAAGACAACATACATTAGATTTATATTTTAATATACATTAATCCATTCTAACTAATAAGATTTACTTATATCCCTAATATGAACCCTTTACTGTAGTCAGCTCAGCTCACTAGAAAGCATATTCAACAAATATTGAGTACCTATGATAAGCCAGGAACTGTTGTAGGCTTTAAGGAAATAAGGCCAAGTCCATCCCCATTCTAATAGTGTAACTAGGAAATGGACAATAAGCAAATAAACTATTTCCAATTGTATTAAGTGCTATGAAGAAAATAAATAGGGTCATATGGGCTAGAGTTATGAAAGGGAACTAATTATATATAATAATCAGGGAAAATCTTTCTAACAAGGTGGCAGTTGAGTCAAGGAGTGAAGGATGAAATGGAATCTGCCATTTGAAGAGCCAGGGAAGAGCTGGGCAGTAAGAAGGGACAACATGTACAAAGACCCCAAACTAAAAAACCATCTTGTTTAGTCCAAAAAACAAAAACAATGAGAGAGTGGCTGGAGAGTCCTGAGTAAAAGAGGTATGAAATGGGGTTGGGGAGAGCAGCAAAGATCAGACACATAAGGACTTACAGATGTAGTAAGGAGAGGTTTTATTATAAATGTAAAATGGAAAGCTACTGGGGTAATGACATGATCTGATGGACCTTTTAAAATGCAGTCATTTTTTAAAAAAATATATATTTTATTGAGTTTTTACAGAGGGGAAGAGAGAAGGATAGAAAGCTAGAAACATCGATGAGAGAGAAACACCGACCAGCTGCCTCTTGCACACCCCCTACTGAGGATGTGCCCGCAACCAAGGTACATGCCCTTGACCTGAATCGAACCTGGGACCTTTCAGTCCGAAGGCCAAAGCTCTATCTACTGAGCCAAACTGGTTTCGGCAAATGCAGTCATTTGTTATCTTGAGAGATACATAGTGAAATATTTATAGGGTGATATGGTATGATTCTGCTGTTAGATTAGATATGGAGGCTGAGGAAAAGTAAAAAAATAAAAATAAAAAACATAGGTTTTTAGTTAGATAAAATAGGTAGATCTCCTGAGACAGAAAAGACTGAAAGTATTCTTTAAGAATCAGAGCCCTAACTGATTTGGTTTCCATAGACAGAGCGTCAGCCGAGGGTTCAATTCCAATCAAGGGCAAGTGCCTGGGTTGCAGTCTTGGTTCCCGGCCCTGGTGGGGCCACTTGTGGTGGAAAGCAACAAATTAATGTGTCTTTCTCTCACATTGGTGGTTTTTTCTCTCTCTCTGTCTCTTCCCTTCCTTCCCACTCTAAAAACCAATGGGAAAATATCTTCCAAAGAATTTCAAAGAAATCTCTCTGTAGAAATTATAAATGAAGATCCCTAGTTTTTCAGAGAACTTATAAAGCACTCACATATACATTATTTCATTGGATTCTTAAAATAATCACAAGCATTATCCTCATCTCTGCTTACAGTTGAGGAAACAGGCTCAATAAAGTCAAACTCTTTTTTGTTTTGTTTTGTTAATCCTCACCCCAGGATATTTTCTCCATTGATTTTTTAGAGAGAGTGGAAGGGAGAGAGAGAAATACCCATGTGAGAGAGACACATCAACTGATTGCCACCTGCAGGAGGCCAGAATCAAATCTGCAACCCAGGTAAGTGCCCTTGACTGGGAATTGAACTCAAGACCCTCTGGTGCACAGGCTGATGCTCTACCCACCGACCAATGCCAGTCAGGGCTGAAGTCAAAGACTTAAAGCTCATAAGCAGCCAAACCAGATTTCAAAGGTCGTTCACTTTCCTCCAAGTCCCATGCTCTTACACACCCACACAGTGAGCAGTCAATGACAAGGGAGAGTGTCATTCCTCATCAAATGGGCATCTAAGTGAGAGGGCACATACAGTGCAGTTGAAGAGGAATTCAAAAGCTGAGACTTTTCAAGTTTTGGTTTGAGAAAGAGAAATGCAAGATTATCAAAATATTGAATGTCTGAAATCAGAGCTCTATGCTGTACTTTGCTCTCAAATATTTGTGTTGCCTCAAATCATTTCTTTTAAAAAAGGAGTGTGTATGCAAACAGGTAGATAGACCTATAGATAAAACAAATGTGGCAAAATGTTAAGGACTGGTGGATTTAAATAAAGTGTTTACAGCTGTTTATTATACTACTTCTTGAAACTTTTTGTAACTTTGAAATTTTTCAATATACAAAGTTGGAGAGAGAAAAAAATACCTGCTATCTTTGTCTGTTCTTTCATTTATGAGAGGAATCCATCGACTTGTTACCTACAATGAAAATTAACAAGAACTAAGCCATATGGATCTTCTTTGAAAAATATCCAATCTTAAGACCCCTAAAATTCTAAATTGGGGATCAATTTTTAAAGTGCTCCCACTGAAATTTAATTAAATATGGTGAAAAAAGTCATATAGTCATACCTTATCAATAGAATGCTTGTTGTTAACAGCATAAACTATGCAGATGACATTAGCCTACAAGAAAAACGAACAAATTAATAGTATTTTTGCAATAGTAAGGAAAACTTAGCACGCCTCTAAGAGGAAAAAGTTCATAAGGACTTGCAGCAAAAATACATTCTCAAATTCAGCAATAACAACAAAATAAGTGAGAAAATAAAAAAACAAGACTTATAATCCTAACTATTTTCCCACAAAATCCTACTATTATTTTTTAACTCATTTGTGATTTGGTTGTTTTTTTTGTTTGTTTGTTTTTGTTTTTTTTAAAAAATTAATCCTCACCTGAGGATATTTTTTCCTATTGATTTTTAGAGAGAATGGAAAGGAGGGAGGGAGGTGGGAAAAATAGACACATCGATTGGTTGCCTCCTAGTGTGCCCTGATCAGGGCCAGGGATCAAACCTACAACCCAGGTACATGCCCTTGACAAGAATCAAACCTGCAACTCTTCAGTACACGGGCCGACACTCTAACCAATGACCCACACAGGCCAGGGCACTCACCTGTGATATTTCTTGATGAAGTTGTTCATCACTCTGTTCTGCTTCTACAAATGACAAAGTAAAAAATAGATTCATACTTTACACATGTCCATAAAAACTAATGGCCAGGCTAAAAGCTATGTAACACCCATCTAACATCCCTCTAAACATCCCTTATTTCTTATGTCATGGTATAGTACCAGACTAGGTAGCAAAGGGAAGGGCAGGCCAGGGGAAGGGAAGGATGATAAGGAAGCTGGCTGGCACTGGAAGACAGGTTTACCAGAGGGTAACTCAGACACAGAAGAGCAAAAGGCACTGTTATAAATCTAGGCCGGCATCTGACTCAGTGTTGACAGGGTCAGGCAAAAGAGATCAGAAACCCAATCTAGAAGACTGGGTACTGGAAAGTCAGAAGCCCAGACAAAGCATCTATCCAGACAAGGTTAAAAGGCCACATGAGAATCTGGGCAATACAAGCTTAAGATCTAGATAGCAGGTATGAGTAATATTAACCAGGCCCAGAAGCAAAACTAGAGCATGATAATGATGAGTCAAGAATTCCCTCTTTAGTGCATATCCCTGGCCAGAACTGGTCTCAATGGGTAGATGTGCCTATAACACCAAGGTACACGAGATAGGCATGATATAGGTGGGAAGAGGAAGCACACAAATGAAGAGCAAAGCCATTATTGACATATTAATTCAGATCATCTTACATTAAATGTTTTCTCCCCAAATGCCTGTTATTTCTGACATACAAACTAATATCATATGTAAGTTCAACTGCACTTTACACTATGCTAAAATAACTGGTCATTTTTAATATATTTTCATATGTTGAATAATCAATGGGTTATGGTTCCAATTCTAATACTGAAGTGAAATCTAATTATATGGCTACACTTACCTAAAAAAATTATTCTATAAGTTAAGCTACAGTTATGATACTGTAGCAGAAAGAATCCACTGCCCTCAGCTTTTAATATAGCACAGTGCTGTCCAGTAGAAATATAATGCAAGCAGCCAGGACCGGTTTGGCTCAGTTGATAGAGCATTGGCCTGTGGACTAAAAGGTCCCAGGTTCGATTCTGGTCAAGGGCATGTACCTTGGTTGCGGACATATCCCCTTTAGGGGGTGTGCAGGAGGCAGCTAATTGATGTTTCTCTCTCATCAATGTTTCTAACTCTCTATCCCTCTCTCTTTCTCTCTGTGAAAAATCAGTAAAATATATATTAAAAAAAAGTATGACAACAGCTAACACAATAGTCATCTGGTGTAAATGAATCAAAATTAAAAAAAAAGAAAGAAATATAATGCAAGTATATATATGTAATTTTCAATCTGCTAGTAGTCACCTTAAGAAAAGTAACTGGTAAACTTACTTTTACTTAACCTAAAACATCAAAAATATTAAAATTTCAATATATACTCAGAAAAAGTACTAAGAAGCTATTTTATATTCTGGTTTCATACTAAATCTTCTAAATTCACTGTATTGTACACTTAGAGCACACTTCAATTTAGACTAGCCACACTTCAAGTGTTCGAATAGTCACATGTTTCTGACTGCACAGTACTAACATTTATTTTTTAGGCTATATGAGATACCAGTTTGGCAAAACAAAGTATTACAATGTAGTTATATCCATTAAAAAATATTTTATTGTTTAGACCAGTTTTAGGTTCACAGCAAAACTGAGTAAAGGGTACAGAGATTTCCCATCTACCTCCTGCCTCCATATAGCTTCCCACTGTCAACATCACCTATCAGAGTGGCTCATGTTACAACTGATTCTTTAAAAAAAAAAAAGTTCCAGAAAAAAGCACAATAATTTAATGATGAAAAAGTAGTAGTATATAGAAAAAGATTTAAATTATAAGCAATACTGATGTGCTATTATCATATAATGTAAGCAACTTGATGACTGTTTTAACTACTATTTTACTTAATACAGAGGTTGAAAAATTAAACAAATTTAGAAATCAACAAATTCTGAAATTTAGAACTCTTTCCAAATCATCACAGCATGCCTGATAACAAATTATCCCAGAACTTCTCTCTGCAAACATGCCAATTCAAAGAGGGTCATGACTTATCTACTTCTTGTCATTTACCATTCCTCCTTCCTTTTCATCACTATGAACCCACCTTAGTAAATTAGGGAAGAGAACTGCAAGATATAGGGTCTATGTGGGTCTGGGGTAGGTACTGGCAGAAAGATATAAATGAAACAAGAATGGTAAATGGTCATTTACTGCTCAAGAAAAAGGATCACTCTTGCTTAATATTTTTTTAAACCTCAGTAAGTACCGTGTTTCCCCGAAACAAGACATCCTCCGAAAATAAGACCTAGCACAACGTTGGGAGAAAAAAATTAATATAAGACTCTGTCTTATTTTCGAGGAAACAGAGTACCTTTTTTCCGATTACTGAACTAACCCTACAGCTTCACCTACAATAGGTCCTTCATTACCTGAGTAATCTACGATGTGTGTTGGAACTCTCTCAGGGGTGACATCAGCTGGAATAGTGATTTCTTCTGCCCGAGGAGGAACCTTCATTTGAAAAAAAAAATATAGAAGAAAAATAGGCCACCGTTGGATATCATTGATTAAAATTGTTAACAGACTATGTAAATGTATCTATTTATTAGCCCCTTTCATCCATGCCTATTCTTACAGGTATTTGTTGTACTTTTAAATGCTTGTTTTTGTGTTTTATTACAATGCAAATATATATTGATGGTATTTAACAAACCACTTTTAAAAAAAAAGCACATTTCTATCTGTGTGGGCACTGGACATAAAAGATATACTTCAGATCTGATGTAGCCTAATGCAGTACTTAAATTAATTTGGAGTTTTAAACATTAGGTTTTTAAATGTTGAGGATAAAAAAGTTTTAGATGTAGAAAGTGATGTTGGCTACACAAAATAGTGAATGTATTTAATGCCCCTAAATTGTACATTGTAAAATCTAATGTTTTCATTCCATTTTGTTGAAAGCTTGACCTACTGTACAAATGAAGAACTATGTTAATCTAAAGCAATCCTCAAATAAAAACAATGTTATAAAAATTCACTTCTTCTGGAAGATAACTAATTGGCAACAGAATAAGCCTTATGTTTAATGATCCCTTTTTTTTTTTTTTAGAAATACTGGATGATTTTTAATCAATTAAAAACTCCTTATGCACACTCAAGAGGACTATGCTAAAATGATAATTCTAAACTAAGTTAAACTATCATAGAAAACTTTTAGGTATTACATTCTGGGTGATCATAATTAACGTTGCACATTCTGTAAACCACACAGGAAAATACACTTCACTTCATAAATTAAGCAGTAGTTATTTAACCATGTTACTTAAGAGGGGAAAAAAGCAGAAGAAACATTGAATGATCATATGGCCACTGTTGAAAACACTATTATATCATACATCATATTCCTGTCTAAATAATGAAGTTATACAGATATTCCTACCTAATTAAGAGTTTAAAAAAAAGGGGGGGGGGGTTTAAATGTAAATTGTGGCACTAATAACACCTGCAATATGAAGAAAGAGAATAAAAAGAAATAATTTTCATCCCATCTGTATTGATCCCATTCCCCATAACAATATCTTGATTTTATGTAGGGCCTTAACCAGCAATATCCCATACTGGAACTTCCAAAATGTAAACAAATATATTCCCAGTAATAATAAAACCCACTTTACTTTTAGTAGCACTCCCATTATAAGCTTATCTCATTTGAGACCCATACTAATCCTTTGAGGTAAGTAGGCAAAGGCAGAATGAATTATTTCTATTTGTAAAATGATTGGAGGTGGATAATATTAAAGGGTTTCAAATATGTGCGTCATAATCCTAGTTGTTCTAATGCCTCAAAGACTAGGAGGTGTCAGGTGGAAGGCAGGTGGGGATTCAGCCCTTTTGCCCTAACTTCAACAAAACGAATATCCATCTGTTTTATGACAACATTTTATGTTTAAGAAACAATCTCTCTCCCCCCCCCCCCCTCTCTCTCTCTCTCTCTCTCTCTCACACACACACACACACACACACACACACACACACACACAAATGAAGGATTACAGATTAGATGACTTCTATTATCCCTTTCAGCTCCCATTTTTAGAAATGAGATTAATAAGGCACAGAGATGACAATATCCCAGCCAAGGTCAAAAGTATAGGAAATGCAAAGGACTGAGGTGAACTCAGATCTAGTGTGACTCTTTCTCTTACACAGTTTCAGGGATGTCTTGTATAAAATAATATTAGCTTTTTCAAAAATCACAACTGTCAGAAAGGAAGCACAGGCAAAAAAGGCAGAATTTGTTTCATTTTAACTCAATTTTGAGAAATTTAAAACATTTTAAAAATAGCAAAGAAATCAAAACGTTTACCTCCTCTGGAAATTCTTCACTGACCAGAGACATAATCAGTGATGTCTTCCCAACTCTAGCTGTGAAGAGAAAAATCATTACTTTAATAGAGTGTTCAGGTTCATGAGCTCATAATTCAGCAATCACATAGACAGTCTGTTATTTGTTAGCTACCCTGTTTCCCCGAAAATAAGACAGTGTCTTATATTAATTTTTTCTCCCAAAGTTGCGCTAGGTCTTATTTTTGGAGGATGTCTTATTTTCGGGGAAACACGGTAGAATCAGAGGCATCCAAATTACCACATTTTATTATAGTACAATACGTCAAGTATATCTCTTTTTCTTCTGCTTAGAAAGTTACACATACTCATTGTTTATTTAAAAAAAAATATATATTTTATTGATTTTTTACAGAGAGGAAAAGAGAGGGATAGAAAGTTAGAAACATCGATGAGAAAGAATCATTTATCAGCTGCCTACTGGGGATGTGTCCACAATCGAGGTACATGCCCTTGACCGGAATCGAACCTGAGACCTTTCAGTCCACAGGCCGATGCTTTATCCACTGAGCCAAACCGGTTTCGGCCATACTCATTGTTTAAAAGAAAAAATTATCAAAGTTTATTATATGAAAGTAAAATTCTCCCATAATGTCCTCATTAACAGTTTAATATAGACAGTCTCCCAGATTTTTTCTATACTCATGTCAATATAATAATTTATTACAGTGGAATCATAGTATTCCTACTATTTAACAATATTCCTTTTTTATTTAATTATGTATCTGGGCAGTATTCCCTGCCCTATATAAAAATCTCCTGGGAGAGGGAAGGAATTCTGTATTATTTAATGGTACAGAATTTTTGTTAAGGATGACAAAGTTTTAGATCTAGACAGTGGTGATGGTTACACAAAATTGTGACTGTATTTAATGCTTCTAAATTGTACATTTACAAATGGATAAAATATTAAATAGTATGTTTTATATATTTTATCACAATATTAAAAAATAGCAATCATAAATCCATTTTATATTAACATTTAAAAAGTTTCTTACATTAGTTTTGGATAGTTGTATAAGAATAAATTGTATGATGTGTCATAATTAATATAATCTAACAATGAACACTGTTGAAGTTTTCGCTTTTATAAACAATGCTACAATGATTATTTCTAAAGGATAAATTTCTAGAAATGGAACTCAAGTTAGCATGCATAATCTTTTATGTTTTTAATAGATACTGTTAAATTACCTCCAAAAAAAGAATAGACCAATTTACATCTTTACCAATAAAAGGTCAGAGTGCATATTTCTGTACACCCTTTCTTTTTTAGGGCATCATATTTAAAGGGTTAATAAAAGCAAAGAAATTTTCCTGTTACATTTTCTAACCAAGGAAATTTTTTTAATGCACAAACTTAAAAAATCTTAATTTTCATTCTGAAATGTGCCTTGCATCCCACCACTTTCTGATCATATAATTGCTACCATTAGATATCCAACTGCTTATCAACTAATCCTTTTGTTATTCTCGAGGAAAACAGTCCACCTGCCTATTAATCTCTGCCATATTAGCAAATTACAGCTTTTAAAAGTAAAGTTTAAATATAAAATAACTGGAAAATTTTAAAGTTAAGGGAAGTCACATTCTTTTTTTATTTTTTAAAATAACTAAAAGAAAGGATGAACTAACTGAAAACACAAGTCAAGTCTCTGGAAAAATAACAAATGGCTGGAGAGTACTTGTCAAAACGTAGAGGGTGTGCTGGGAACAAGTGAGGTCTGCTGGTGGAGGGACAAATTAGAGGGTCTAACAGGTGCCTTCTAGCTCTGATTTCCTCGGTTCTTTTCAACCGACTTGTGTGGGAACACTTGAGCCTTTTCCAAGTGGCTGAGAGTAAACACTGTCACTGAGTTCTGACTGTGTCAGTGAACTCAGAGCCCAACATCACAGAACTGCTAGAACCTAGTATCAATGTCAGTTGATCCAGCTCCCCCAAAATATGTTCTGAAAAGAACCAAGGACCCAGAGACAGTGATTTTCTCAAGGTCTCACTAAAAGATTAGTTGCACACCTAAGAGAATAGCCCATCTCTTGATGGCTTAAGTCAGTGTCCTTTTTCTTTCTTATGCCAGACTTTAAAAAATGTTAACACAAGTTAAAAATACAGAAAAAAAATGGTGACCCCCTAAGTCAGCAAACACTGCATACACAAATACTACATAAGTTAATTAAAATACTCACTGATTCATTGCTGACTAATTCAGTAGCTCTGGCTCAAATTTTTTTAAAACTTATTTTGAGAAAAGTTCAGACTTACAAATACTGCAAAAATAGTACAAAGGAGCTAGGCCTGTCCTTTAACCAAATTCCACATATCTTAACATTTAAGCACATTTGCATTATCATTCTCTCTAAATATATATACTTAAGTGTTTTGTTTTTTTAAACCAGATGAGAGTAAGTTGCAGACATGATGACCCCTTATGCTAAACACCGGGGTCATCATGTCTGCAACTTTCTCTCAAAACACTTAAGATTAGATGATAGCTAAGAAAACTCTTTGTTTTTCTGACCAAGATCAAATACTGTATTTGGTTGTCAGTCTCTTTAGTCCCCTTTAATCTTTAGTTCCTCAATCTATCATGACCTTAACTTTTTAAAAAAATATATATTTTATTGATTTTTTACAGAGAAGAAGGGAGAGAGATAGAGAGCTAGAAACGTCGATGAGAGAGAAACATCGACCAGCCGGCTCTTGCACACCCCCTACCGGGGATGTGCCCGCAACCAAGGTACATGCCCTTGACCGGAATCGAACCTGGGACCCTTCAGTCCACAGACTGATGCTCTACCACTGAGCCAAACCGGTTTCGACCATGACTTATCTTTTTGAAGAATGCAAGCCATTGAATTTGTAGATTTCCCCTCAGTTGGGTTTGCATGATGTTATTTCATGATTAAGTTCAGGTTTTGCACTTTTGGCAGGAATACCCTAGAAGTGATGTTGCACCCTCTTCAGTGCATCACAGCAGAAGGGAGATGGTGTCAATTTTGTCCCATTACTGGTGATGCTGGCTGTCATCACTTGGAGGAGGTGGTGTCTGCCACTATAAAGTTATTTTTCCTGCTGTAATTAACATGTATCTTAAGAGGAGATACTTTGGACTACGTTAATATCCTGTTTCTCATCAAACTTTTGCGCACTGGTTTTAGCAGCCATTCATGATGCTTAAATTTTGTTTCTATCAAACCTTCTACATTACTTTGCATTCTACTGTAAGAAAATCATCTTCTCTTCTGATTCATATTAGCATGGTCTCATGGATTATTCTATGGTTTATAAGCTGTTACTGTCACTATTTGGAGGCTCCAATTGTTCCAATTTACTTTTTAAATGACATTTATGTAGGTATAAATCAGCATGATCCCATTTTATTTTTAAAATATGTATTTGCATAGAAAACACACACACATCTGGAAGGATATATATACCAACAGTGGTTCACTCTGAAGTAAATGTGCTTGTAACTTTCTTTGTGCATTTCTATGGTTTTCCCAATTTTCTAAAATAAACATAATTTTTGCTACTAGAAAGAGGTCAATAAGTACTATTTTAAAAGTTATTTTTGGTAGTCAAAATTGGCATATTTTAAATTTACAGATGGCAACTGGAATTTACCTAAAGGTTGACATGTAAAATGTGTGCTTTCATCCCTTCAATAAATATTTTGAGCACTTCTTTCTGCCAGGCACTATTCCAGGGACTGCAGGTACCATTCTCCGAGGTCTTCTCTGCTTTTTAAACTTTCATGGTGATTATAACCCAACAGACTTATACGTTTCTCACCAATAAAGAACACTCTTTCTAAAAACCAGCATAAAAAGCACAACTCAAAAACTGTGGCTATCTTGACTCACCCTTCCTCTGCACTCAGCCTTCAAATTATGTCAAATTTTCCTCTGAAATTCTTAATATTCATTTCTTCTTCTCGGTTCCTATTTTCCCTATGGTACTTTTACTGAAACGCCTCCCGGTTCCCAACTTTCTACCCCTTCCTCTTATCTCTCCTCTTATTAATTTATCAACAATATAAATCCCAGTCCATGTTCCTCACACATTCTTTTCACTTTCTAACTCACCTGATCAAAAAAAGTCTTCCTACCACATCAAGGTGAAACTATTCTACTGCCTTTGAAAATCATACAAAATTTAACACAGCTCATTTATGTAATCTTATTTCCCACATGCACGATTTGCTCAAATAGGCCATTCGGCTCTGTATAAATTCAAACAAGCCACGATGAATCCTGCTTCCCCAAGGGTTGTTTCTTCACCTAAAATGCCATTTCCCCTCTTCCCTCTCCAGCTCCAAATAGTAACCATCACTCAAGGACATCTTAAGTTCTATCTAAACTCTAAAGGCATCCTAGGGCTACTATAGCCTCCTGTCCACCTTTGAACTACAACTGTGACACATAACTTGCATCAAACTATTATGAATATAAAGTACATACTTAATATGTATGAATTTACATTAACACAATAACCATGTATAATATTTGAAAACAGTGGATAATAATCAAATTTTCTTGATTTTATACGAGTGGGAAAGGACCTATAGCATATCGACCAGACTGAATGAACTGTTTCACTTGGTTTCACCTCCCCAAACACAGCAGTATTTGGAAGCTTCAGCACTGCCATTGAGGAGACTAGTCCCACCTCCTAGAGATTCTGAACACTCCCTTGCAAAGCTTTTCTTAAGAGCAAATGAAGAGCTGGAATAGTATAGTAAATGCTATTTCATTTCTAAAATTACTTTGTTCAACTTGATTCTAGTAAAAATTAAAGTGTTGCAATTTCAAATAATATTAAAGGAGGGTATGATACAATAAAGAATACACCTGGTCTACCCAGCGTGGCTAAGTGGTTGAGCATCGACCTATGAACCTCAGGAGGTCAGGGTTCGATTCTTGGTCAAGGCACATGTCCACTAGGGGGCGCCAGGAGGCAGCCGATCAATGATTCTCATCATTGATGTTTCTCTCTTTCTCCTTATCTCTGAAATCAATAA